GCGGTCCTTGAAGGGGGCTCGATCACCACCAAGGCGAGTCGCTATCCTCTCCAGTTTTCCCGAACCGTGGCCAGAGCCGTGGCGGAGTACTGGGCGGGGGCCCCCGTTCGGAGTAAGGCGGCTTGGGCTGACCTCGTTGAGCATGACTACCCGGAAGGGGAGGTCGGGCCAGCCGAGGGGGAGAGCGAGGTCGTCTCGAGCGAGAGCGAGGACGAGCCTGAGACTCGACCGACATCGAAAGGAGGCAAGACCACTTTCGAAGAGATCGAACCTAGTGAGGACGAGAAGAGATTTCATATACAAGCTCCACGTGAACATGGGGCATCCCGAGGTCAGAAAGTTTGCGAGGGTGCTCAGGGCTGGAGGAGCGAAGCGCCGACTCGTGCGCTGGGCCAGTACCAAGTTTCACTGCTCCGAGTGTGCGGAAAGGGCCCGATCGGGCCTTCATCGAAGGGTGGCGCTCCCACGCGCGTTTAGGTTCAACCACATTGTGGGAGTGGACCTCATATACTTGGAGTTCCAAGGGTTGACGAGGCCATATCTCAACATTGTGGACCACGGGTCCAACCTTCAAGTGATGGTTCGAGTCTCCTCAGCGACGGCCTCAGAGGTGTGGTCGGAGTTCCTTCGAGCGTGGATTAGACCTCTGGGAGCCCCCCAGTTCCTGATCTCGGACGGGGGTTCGGAATTTGGAGCGCGTTTCGCCCGCGGTCTTGAGCAGTGGGGGGTGCGCCATCACGTCTGCGACGCAGACTCCCCCTGGCAAAACGGAAGGGTTGAACGCCATGGGGGGTGGGTCAAGGAGCGAGTGCGCTCGGAGCTGGAGGCGGGGTCTTTCGTGCCGGAGACGATCGAAGAGCTCGATGACCTCATCACCGAGCTGGTTGCTCATAAGAACCGCTTCTGGCACCGCGGAGGGTTCTCCCCCCTCCAACTCGTTTTCGGAGAGAACCCCCGCCTCCCCCATGACATCCTCTCCGACGACCACCGGGGGCTTCCTGGCTGGCAGGATCTCATTCGCCCTTCGGCCGAGCAGGACGAGGCCGGGGCCGAGTTTGCGAGAGCGCAGCAGATTCGGGCCGAGGCTCGACGGTTGGCGATGGAGACGACATCTCGCGAGAAGATCAGCCGCGCCTCGAGGGCGAAGCCGCCAGTCGTTCAGAGGTACACTCCGGGGCAGTGGGTGTTCGTGTGGCGACACTTTTCCCGCACGTCCTCCAGAGCCGACGCCCTCGGCCGTCGGAGAGACGGGTGGTGCGGTCCGGGGGTGGTCGTTCTTAGTGAGGGGGGGGCCGTGTGGGCGGCCGTTAGGGCTCGTTTGTGGAAGTGTAGTCAGGAGCAGCTGCGACTGGCCAGTCCCGAGGAGGAGTACGGACTTCAGTTAGCCCAAGACCCCCAGTGGCAGGAGCTTCTCCTTGCCTCGCGCACTAAGCGAGTTTCGGCTGTCGATGTGCAGAGAGAAGGCCCCCCGCCCGACGACTCGCTCGACGAACCCGCGATCGTGGACCCCGACCCGGGACCGAGGATCCCGGGGCCGGCGGCGGTTCCCCGGGAGGAGATCGGGCCCGAGGAAAGGAGCTCTCGGCCCAATCCTTCTCGGGTCGGGCCCGTGGGTCTTCCGAGGCCACCTCACTCGAGGGGGGGATCTCGAGCCGGATCCGTGGTGGCTCAGCCGGGCTCGAGACTGCCCTCAATTCCTGAGACTCGAGAGCCGTCCGAGATGGCCAGGTCGATCACCCCTCCTACCGCTCCTCCTTCTCCTCGCCGGGATGAGAGGGATGAGGATGGTCCGGGAGAGTCCAAGAGTCCGACGGACGCCCACGGACCGCCTGGAGAGGCGACGAGCGGGAACGGGGACTCGGCTATCCCACCTCCTCCCGCTCCTGTCTCCTTGCCTCCCGCTCCCACCCCGGCCGAGGGGAGACAGAGTCGAACGAGGCTGAGGCAGCCATCCGACGTGCCCCTGTGCATTGCGCGAGCCCGGGCCGAGAGCTGCCCGCCCGAGATGAAGCGGGCCAAGACGGAGGGAGGCTCCGACTCCTCGGCGCCCGCCCCGCCCGAGGTACCGAGCCCGGAGGGGACCTCTCTCCTTCCCCCCTCGCCCGAGGTCGGTGGTGGTGGTGACAGTCCAGGGCCAGGGCCCTCCCAGGAGCGTCCTCCTATGATCTCGGGAAGTGAGCCAGCCGCCTCTGTTCGTGACCGTGTGAGAGCGATTGAGGGACGTGGTCGATCGAGATCCCCTAGCGGCACCGGGTTTGAGGGGACCACTGAGGATTTTGGGCTGGCGGCCGAGCGGGGGGGCGTTAGGGTTTTCCCCATGCAGTCGAGCTGGACCGGGGTCTGCGAGGACGGCGGCACTTTCGCCACGGGTCGAGGGGCCGAAGTTTCTCTGAAAAAGCTTTCTCCGGCCGAGCGGGCTAAGTTTAGTGCCTCGGACCAGAAGGAATGGGCGGCTATGATGGGGACCGGGGCCGTTCGAGTCGTTCCTCCGGCTAGGGCGAGAGTCATCCGACGTGAGCTTCCGGACAGGATGATCTCCAGCCGGATGGTTCGCAGGTGGAAGCCGGTGGAAGGAACGTTTGCCGAGCCGGAGGCAAAATCGAGGTGGTGCGTGCACGGCCATCGTGACCCAGACTCGGGCTCGTTGGCAGTGTACGCGCCAACTCCCCAGACCTCGTCGATCATGATGTTTCTGCAGGTCTCAGCCAACCTGCATCAGTTCCTGGACATAGCCGACGTTAAGAACGCCTTCTGTCAGTCCAATCCCATGCAGCGTGCTGCAGGCCAGATCTTCGTTGAGCCCTGCGAGGGGATAGACTTGGAGCCGGGGGCCCTCATCGAGCTTCTGGTGAATGTGTATGGGCTGGACGACGCCCCAGTGGCGTGGAGGCGCACGGTTGTTAGCTATCTAGAGCAGAATGGCTTCGTCCGAAGCCTGTTGGAACCGTGCTGGTGGATGCGCTACGGGTCCCAGGGCCAGATCCTCAACATGATGTTGCTAGAAGTAGATGACTTCATGATCGGCAGCTGCGACTCGACCTCGAGAGCCTGGGTCCGGCAGTTGCTGGAGGCCAGGTTCAAGTTCGGTAAGTACAGGGACTGCCACGCGAGTCCAGTGGACTTCGCCGGACGGCGGATCACGCTTGGGGAGCAGAAGATAACCGTTGATCAAGAAAAATACATCCTCGAGGGGATTCGGCCCCTGAGCTTAGCCAGGGGGAGGATGTCCCGTAGTGACTCCCCACTCGAGCCAGGCGAATTTCGAGCACTCAGGTCCCTGGTATATAAGTTTAATTGGGTCGGCAGGGAATCCAGGCCGGAGGCCGCAGGCATCGCTTCGATCCTAGCCAGTCGTTTGAAGAGCGCGACGATTTACGATGTTTCCTGTGCCAACAAGTTGGTCAAACATCTTCGGACGACGGCCTCTCGAGGCCTGACGATTTGGAGCCTGGACCCGGACCGTATGGCGTTTGTGTCGTTTTCAGACGCCGGGGGAGTAGGAGCTGACATCAAGATGAATGATGACCGGGGGCTCCCGGCCGACCCAACCCAGGGGGCTTGGCTGGTGCTGGCCACTGACAAGTCCGTGCTGTTGAACAGCTCGGTCAAGGCGTCATTCCTGGGCTGGAGGAGTAGTAAGCTACGACGTAAGGTCCCGTCCACCCTGGCCGGGGAAACCCAGGCATTGTCCGCCGCCGTGGCGGAGGTGGAGTACCTTCAAGTGCTCTACAGGGACGTGATGTTCCAGGACGTGGACGTCCCTGAGTGCAGGAGGGCCTCAGGGCCCTTCACCACCGTGCTTCGTAGGGATTGCAAGCTGGGGTCCCGGGAGAACCAGGTGCACGTTGTAGATGCAAAGTCCATCTACGACACGATGTTGAAGGAGGGGAACGCCAGCGCCAAGGACAGGCGCACTGCACTGGACCTCGCAATCATTTGCGAAGCACTAGAACGAGCGCGCGGAAGCGTGCGATGGATCCCACACGGCAGGATGCCGGTAGATCCACTGACAAAGGATGACATCACCAAGAGCAATGCCGCCCTGGCCGACCTCATGACTCGAGGCCGGCTCATCCTGGTGGACGAGAGCTCCGAGCTGGATCGCCGCCGAGCGGCACCAGAGCTCAAGGATCGCTCCCAGCTGGCGTCTAGAAGGCAGTTGGCCCGGAGTCAGAACATGCTGTCGTGGCAGGAGTTCCTGGACCAGGAGCTCTACCAGGTAGGTGGTGGTGGTGGTGGTGGTCCTATCTCCCCCCTTTCCTCTCCCCCTCGGCCGGACGGTCCTCCCGGCCTACCTCCACCATCATTTCAATAGTTTTCCATTGTTGCTCTCATTCTCACCTTGTTTTCTTGAATACGGCCGTCCTGGGGGACGGAGGCTTCCATAGAAAGCCGCCACCGTGTACTGCGCTTTTCCGCGAATGGGTGGTCACAGTTCTCCTGACATGGGGAGAGCTGAACCTAGAAGAAAGTTTGACCAGTGTTGCAGTGAGGCAGATTTTCACTGATAGGTTCAGCGTCAGGAGTTTCTGTCCGTGACCAATGTGGCTCAAGGGTAAAACACCTAGTCTGTCTCCGTCTGCCACATCCTCCTCCTCCTCCTCCTCCTCCTCCTCCTCCTCCTCCTCCTCCTCCTCCTCCTCCTCCTCCTGCTCGTCCCCATGCGTTCGGCAACGCGCAGAAGGGGGTAGGGGGAGGGGGGAAGGCTTCTTAGAAGCACCCCTGCTTCTCAGAAGGCGCGGGCGCCTTCTCTGTAGACGCAAGGCCGAGGCCTTCTAAGAAGCAGGGGTGCTTCTAAGAAGCCTTCCCCCTCCCCCTACCCCCTTTTGCGCGCCGCCAATGCGCGCAGGAGCTCCTCCCTCTCCCCCCCTCCTTCTCCTCCTCCTCCTCCTCCTCCTCCTCCTTCTCCTCCTCCTCCTCCTCCTCCTCCTTTTCCTCCTCCTCCTCCTCCTGCTCCTCCTCCTCCTCCTGCTCGTCCGCAGATGCCCCCATGCGTGCAGGAGCTCCTGGCCGGCGGCGCCCGCGCCCCCGCGCCGGGCGGCGCCTGACCCCCGCGGCGCGCCGAACTTTTTTAGTTGGAGCGTACGCAGGGGGAGTCAGCGCCTGGAGGAGTAGGGAGGGAAGCGAAGAGGAGGGTGACGGGGGAGGAGGGGAGTGAGGAAGGAAGTGGAGAGAAGGAAGAGGATGATGAGGGGGAGGAGGATTCAGAATGAGCGAAGGGAGGGAAGCGAGGAGGAGGGTGACGGGGGAGGAGGGGAGTGAGGAAGGAAGTGAAGAGAAGGAAGAGGATGATGAGGGGGAGGAGGACGAGAAGAGGGGGGGTGAGGAGAAGAGGACGAGGAAGAGGAGGAGGAGGAGGAGGAGGAGGAGGAGGAGGAGGAGGAGGAGGATGCGGAGTAGAACCCCCAGGCATTCTTGACGCTCCCCTCGCCCATTTAAGCTGCCTTGCCCACTTCCCTTTAGCACAGTGTTGGCAGGACTAGGAAAAAGCAGAGCTCGTCCAAAAAGCAGAGCTACGCCCTCTGCCAGAGGGGGATCCTTGTTGAGCTTCCCCCAGGGCCAGGCACATGGTGTGGCCCGTCAACGGTGTGGTCTGGATTACAGTCAAAAACCCTAATAAGGACGCGCGACTTTGCTCAGGGTACCCTCGCGTCCTTGCTCTTCCTTGCTCTTGCGTCCTTGAGGTTTTCGCCGTCCGCCGCCCCAAAAATCCCAACTGCTGCTTCCAAGGGTCCTGCGTCCTTACCGCGCGTCCTTATTAGGGTTTTTGACTGTACCGTTTCTGCGACAGTCCAATCCTGGTAATCACGGGCACGGGCTGCGCAAAGAGATTCCCCGTGATACTCACAAAGAGATTCGTCGTGAAGTCGGCACCCTCCACGCATACTTACGATCAGATTCCTCGTGAACTCGGCACCCTCCAAACATAACTACTTCTACCATGTACGCGTCGGCCCTGCAAGGGCGACTCGCGAGCTCAGGCATCTTATAGCACAGGCCCGTGGCGGGCTCTTTCCGGCCACACCGCTCGGGAAACGAGACGCTGTACAGTGGAGACCCATGCCAAGAAACGCCCTGCTTGCCTCCACGGTGCCCTGGATTTCTTGGGTTTCGATGGTTTGGCTATGGAAAGCGTTAGTTTCGAGGGGTCTGTTGTGGCGAGCGTGACGCTCCCACACCAGAGAACAGTGGACGTCCTGGGGTCCCAGGGCTGGGTTTCCTGTAGAAGGTTTCCTGTGGTCGGGCCCCTACTGTATAAGAGCTTTGCGCCACACGTCCGCGTCGGACGCGCGCCCCCCCCCCAACACCAGCACGCGGCAGCGGCACTTGTCCTCCCGCGTCGCATGCGAAAAGCGCCAGCAGATTCCCAGACCAACGACGACGACGATGACCACGACGACGCCGACGACGACGACGACGACGACGACCGCGACGACGACGACGACGACGACGACGACGACGACGACGACGACGACGACGACGACGACGACGACGACGACGACGACGACCGCGACGACGACGACGACGACGACGACGACGACGAGCCGTTCACGGGCCGCACCGCCCGCCCGCCTCCTGGACCCCGCCCTCCCCCCCGGCGGCGGCGGCGCGGGGGGGCGAGACCGGGGAGGGCGGACGGCTTCTCCGCGCGGCGGCCCCGCAGTGGAGCAAAGGTATCCACAGTGTCTACCTCTCTCTCTCTCTCCATCTCTCTCTCTCTCTCTCCCTCTCTCTCTCTCTCGGTGTCTCTTCCTCTCTGTCTCTAGACGGGGGCGGCTCCGCCGGCGGAGACCGGCGGAAGGCCGGCGAAGGACGGCGGAGGTAAAAGGTGCACCCCAAGTAGACGACAACATTTTTGGGTCAAGGGTCTCCAGAACCCGCCGTATGTTATTCTCTCTCTCTCTCTCTCTCTCTTTCTCTTATTATCGTTCTTTCTTTATCTCCATCTCTCTCTCTCTTTCTCTTACTCTCTCTCTCTCTCTCTCCTTCCGCGAGGCACATGGCGCTTGTGCCTGGGAGACGTAGGGTGGCACCAGTGCACCAGGACCATTTAGAATTGTCCGTGACTTGCAGCCTGTAGCGTCCAGGCGAGCGACGCAAGAAGAAGGGTCGACCGCGAGGAAGTTTGCGCTCAAGCTGCCCGCGTAAGCGCCCTCTTGCCCAGGTGGTGCACTGCATTAGCCTCCTGCGTAAGTCCTCGCGAAAAGTAGCTACGACCTCACGCGTATCACCCATTTTCTCGTCGCTCGCACGTAGATGCATAGATGGTAGTGTCGACTTTGTCTTAGTGGCGAATGGCAGTTCCAATAGATGGATCAGGGTTTCCCATTGCGCCCACGAAATCAACCTCCTCTCTTCATCGCCATCATCCTCCTCCTCCTCATCATCATCATCACCACCACCACCATCATCACCATCATCATCATCATCGAATCATCATCATCATCATCATCATCATCATCATCATCATCATCATCATCCAAACTGTCCTCCTGGCCGATGTCCTCCTCTGGCTCCCCATCCTTCTCCTTGTTCTTATCCTCTTAT